GGAGCTTGCAGTAAGCTGAGATCCGGCCACTGCACTCCAGCCTGGGCGACAGAGCCAGACTCCGTCTCAAAAAAAAAAAAAAAAACCACCACTGAATTGTATACTTTAAAAGGGTGAACGTTATGCTATGTGAACTGGATCTCAATAAAGCCGCTGCTTTAAAAAAGGAGATTCCTACTCTTTGACACTGAAGTTAAGGACAGCTACAGCTTTCCAATATCCATTCCTTGGGCACTCAGTGGCAAGATATTTATAATAAAAGGATCTAAATCTGAACAAGAGGAGTTAGTTTCCATTTTCTCACAGGCTTGATCTCTACATATCCTTTTTTTTTTTTTTTTTTTTCTGGCCACTTAAAAAGAATGAGGCAGCCAGGTGTTGTGGCTCACACCTATAATCCAGTGCTTTGGGAGGCTGAGGATCACTTGAGACCAATTCAAAACCAGCCTGGCCAATATAGTGAGACCACATCCCTACTAAGAAGAATTTTTTTTAAAAAATTAACTAGGGCCGGGTGTGATGGCTCACGCCTGTAATCCCAACACTTTGGGAGGCCAAGGCAGGTGGATCCCTTGAGCCTAGGAGTTTGAGACTAGCCCAGACAACATGGCGAAACTCCATCTCTCTAAAACTATAATAATTTTTTAAAAACCGACTGGCTTAAGGCTAATCAGAACTCACACCTGAAACCTTCAGAAATCATACTGCTGGTGCACAATGGGGAAAAGTTGTTGCAGAATCAACCACTGCATGGCTCACAGTGCATTGCTGCATACTTAATCTTATCTGATCTTACAAAAGAAGTATTAGAAAGATCCAAATGATATACACATGGGAAAAGGGATTTTGTCTTCTCATTTTAAAACTATGTTAAAGCTTTCTGCCTATTTAGGATAAAGAGGTCATATTCAGAGACTGTTCACATGTATGTATTCTCAGCAAAACATCTACAGGGTGTGGTCATCAGATATTATTTAAAAGGACCAATAAGCCAGGCGCGGTGGCTCACACCTGTAATCCCAGCACTTTGGGAGGCCGAGGCGGGCACATCACCTGAAGTCAGGAGTTCGAGACCAGCCTGGGCAATATGGTGAAACCCCATATCTACTAAAAATACAAAAATTAGCTGGGCATGGTGGCACATGCCTGTAATCCCAGCTACCCAGGAGGCAGAGGCAGGAGAATTGCCTGAACCCGGGAAGCGGATAGGTGCTGCACTCTAGCCTAGGTGACAGAGTGAGACTCCGTCTCAAAAAAAAAAAGGACCAATAGGAGAACAAATTTTAAAAGAATGCTAAAGGCTGGGCATGGTGGCTCATCCCTGTAATCCCAGCACTTTGGGAGGTCAAGGCAAGTGGATTACTTTAGGTCAGGAGTTCGATACCAGCCTGGCCAACATGGTGAAACCCCATCTCTACTCAAAATACAAAAAATTAGCCAGGTGTGGTGGTGAACACCTGTAGTCCCAGCTACTAGGGAGGCAGAGGCAGGAGAATCGCTTGAACTCCGGAGGCAGAGGTTAACGGTGAGCCAAGATCACGCCACTGCACTCCCGCCTGGATGACACAGCCAGACACTGTCTCAAAAAAAAAAAAAAAAAAAAGAATGCTGAAGAGAGACACAGCAATGGTTCTTAAGCACAGGTGATATTTGGTAAAGTCTAAAGACATTTTTGGCTATCAGCTAGGGAGGGAAGCGCTACCTGCACCTAGTGGATAGGGGCCAGGGATGCTACTAAACATCTTACAATGCACAAGAGAGCCTCTCAATGATCTGAAACAAAGTATCAGACATGCCAAGGTTGAGTAACTCTGAGTACTACCACCTACAGTACTGTTAGTGCATCTAAAGTCCAAATACTACTCCACAGTATGAAAGTAATAATCTATCTGTTCTAGTGTGAGAAGCTGAGTTTCACAAATGAAAAAGAGTGAGCAAGAAGCAGAAACCACTTTAATCAGAGTGGTTACTGTTCTAACATTCCAAAAGCAAATTTATCTCATGTGTTTGTGGGACTGATTTCTTTTTTAAAAGGAATATAAAAAGCAGTTTCCTTTTTTTCTCTTTTGAGGCAGAGTCTTGCTCTGTCACCTAGGCTGGAGTGCAGTGACGCAATCTCGGCTCATGGCAGCCTCTGCTTCCTAGGTTCAAGTAATTCTCCCGCCTCAGCCTCCCGAGTAGCTGGGATTACAGGCGCATGCCACCATGCCCAGCTAAATTTTTTTTTGTATTTTTAGTAGAGATGGCGTTTCTCCATGTTGGTCAGGCTGGTCTCGAACTCCTGACCTCAGGTGATCCACCCGCCTTGGCTTCCCAAAGTGCTGGGATTACAGGCATGAACTACCGTGGCTGGCCTAAAATACAGTTTTCTATCACTTTACTATACAATGCTATTCTTTAATAGGAAAAATCTATCAGTGTACATTTAGGTTTAGAGCCTTTTGGTATTTTGAAGCAGTCCTAAAAGCTAGCACAATACAAGTAACTGCAACCATAATACACTGTTCCTGGATACCAAGGTAAGAAGAATGAAGAAGCAATTCTTTTCAAGGCCCACCAGATTTGGACACTAGAATAAACACAGGCTTCATTCCTCTACTCACTAGAAACATAGTCTTTCTAGTATTTATCTTTGCTAGATCCCTCATGTTATTCTCCTCCTAAACAAATATACAAATAATTTTAGTCCCTCCATGGTATCCAATAGTTCATGGGGTTTAATAACACAGGAATGCCTTTCTTATCCATATACCTATAATTTCATCCCCACTCTCAACAAGTCATTCTCAGAGTAGGAAAGGAAATAAGCGGAGTGTCCTCAAACTTATGTTAAAACAGAACCTTCTCCCCAGTGTTATCTCATACTATACTCCCTCTCTCACTCCCACACTCCCACCACATTAGCCATCCTGCTACTCTTTCCTGTTGTAAGTATAAGACCATATAATATCCATGCCCTAAACCCCCAACCCAACCTCAAGCCAGGGGCTTTTCGCTTGTTCCCTCTACTGAAATACTCTTCACCCATATCTTTTTTTTTTTAATGTAATACTGTTTATTTAACTTCAAAAACATTTCAGCATTCTAAACATACAAAAAAAAATAACAGAACGTTGCAAATCATGTTTAAGTACAGGAGGTTCTTGAACTTTCATTGATGCAGTGGCTCTTTGCTTTGCTGACAATGAAGAGTTCTACAGTTTGTTTAAAAACAAAGTTTAAAAACTATCGCACTTAAAACAAAAAAAAATTATCATGCCAGCTGACCCCTCTTTGTCCACAGCTAAGATGGCAGCAGAACGCTATGTCACTATATACAGAAACAAGACAACCTGAAGCTAAATGGATGCCCCCTGCAGAGTCAACAGGTTCAGCCTCACAGTGCACACCCTGAGCTACAGCCTCTCCAAAAGGCATCTTCCCCACAGCCTCAACGCCGAGCAAGGAGCATCAAGAGTTTGTCTCGGTTGTTTTGTTCTTTTTACAAACTATAGATATATACAGTTGAAAACTCAGGATTTCTAGCCAATAACCATAGTTAACACCACCTTACAAATTAAAAAACAAAAGCCAGAAGCATCTTTAAATGCCTTGTCACACCCACAGCAAAGTGCACAGAGTGAGGAGAACAAGAAGAGGGTCTTTTCATTTTAAAAATGTTTGGAAATATGTACAACTTTGATACAGTTTCAGGGTGCTCCAGACACCCATGGCCACTTCATGTAAACCAATGACAATTTCTAGAGCACTTTGAGAGACTACAATATGATCATGATCAAATTTTGTAATTAAACCTAGTGAGGGCAACAGACACTTCTCAAATAAGAGATGTGTCAATTATCATGCTCCCCTACTCTAAGTATTCACAAGGAGACAGATAAACAGTTTCTTTATTCATCCTCCTCCTCCTCCTCCTCTTCTTCTTCCTCCTCCTCTTCTTCATCTTCCTCTTCCACCTTTTTCCAGGCACCTTTAGCAGGACTCTTTGCACCATCAAACTTTCCTTTTGACTTAAAGTCAGCAACATCCTTCTCATACTTCTCCTTCAGCTTTGCTGCCTTAGTGATGTAAGGCTGCTTTTCACTGTCATTTAAATTCTTCCACATCTCACCCAGCTTTTTTGCCATGTCTCCAATAGAGATGCCGGGGTTTGTGGATTTGATCTTGGGGCGGAATTCTGAACAGAACAGGAAGAATCCAGACGGCGGCCTTTTGGCAGCATTAGAATCCTTCTTCTTCTTGCCTCCCTTAGCTGGTCCATAATCCTTCATTTCCCGATCATAGCGCACTTTATCCGCCTTTGCCATTTCATCAAATTTAGATTTCTCTTTCCCAGACATCATCTTCTACCTCTCAGAGCACTTCTTGGAAACTTCTGCAAAATTGACAGGGACCTCTGGGTTTTTCTTCTTATGTTCTTCTCTGCACATCTGCACAAAGAAGGCATAAGCAGACATCTTGCCCTTTGGTTTCTTGAGGTCACCTTTAGCCATCCTGACTGTATTGTTCCTCTTCACCCGTATCTTTACATGGATTTCCCCTTGTCATATATGTCTCAGCTTAAGTATCATGAACTTAGAGAAATCTTCTCTGACTACTCAAATCTAAATTAATCCTCCAATCACTCCACTGTATCAAATTTCCCATAGTTTATTAATAATCAACTAGTTAAGTATTCAGTACCTTTAAACAGCCTTTCTTGTTTGGCGAATTTCTCATCCCTTAAATCCTACCTCCTCAAAATAAAAGTCAGAAATTCAGTTACCCATCCTCTCTTGCAAACCGGGAGCAGGTAATTGACCTATATTATGCCAATAAAACACATTCACATGATATTCATTAGGAGGCAAGTGATATAATGGAGACGCCATGTGAAATCCATTCTAAAGAACATTTCAGAGTTATATCAGCATTCTTTCAGAAGCAGAAATAGCAGAGGTCCTAGCAGTGGCATCTCACACTCAGCACAGACAGTTACAAGTTCTAATACCTATTCCCAGTGGCAAAAGCAGTAGTCTCCAATGATTTGGTCCAGTGGTATAATTTGGGCATTTTTCCTAGCTAAGTAGATGCCAAGACTGATTCTCTGGCATCCGTGAAGATTCTGTGAGCTATCTTATTAGATTTAAAAAAAAAAATTTTTTTTTAATTCTGCTTAAATAAACTACTGGGCTTTGCCGTTTCAACTAAGAGCTCTGATTCATTCTTCATACATTTTTTCATCAGATTCTTACTGATATTTTCTTGTTAATTATTTATTAGCTGTCTCTCCCCACAAGAATATAAAACTTCTTAAGGACAAGGACATTATCTGTCGTGTTCATTCCTATAAACCCAATATTTACCATAGTGCTTCCCATACAAGAGGCACTCAAAAAACACTTCCTACTGCTACACAAATACATACTCGGGAACCAATACGAAGAATTCAAAGTATCAGTACTCTAGGAGTTAAGAGATAAAAAGGATCAATGTGGTCTAGAGAAAGCAAAGAGGCTTCATGAAGGCGGTGACACTTGAGTGGAGTACTGAAAAGACAGATTGTAATCAGGAATGTAGAAAGGCAGAGATGTATCTTCGAAAGGATAAAACAAATGTCTGGCACTAGGAATGAATGCAGCAGGCAGCGAGTAAAGTGGGATTAGGGAAAAGTATGTTGGGCTCGATAGAAGATATTATCAGACATGCAAGATGAGCAAGATTATGAATGGCTCTGAATGCTAGGCTTGGGGAATGTTCCATTTGATGATGTTTCAAGAACACTAATCCTCAATGAGTATTTTCATCTGTTCTTTATTCTAGATGTTATCTGCTGTGTAAAACTACAGCAGCTACCCACACGTTCTCTACAGCATTCCCTCTCTGAGCACTGGTGCTCTATATTTATCTGTTCAAGCTGAGAGACTACAAGAGGAAGAGATTCCTATAATTAATCCTCTTGCAACCAAGTGGATATTCACTTTAAAGATAAAAATCTATTGCCAAAATGGCCTTTATTTTCCAACCGCCATCCCCAAAGCCATACATTAAAATTCCTCTCAACTCCATTTACCTTCTAGTCTATTAGAATAATTTCCAGATACTAGGCTGAGGTGGGAGGATCCTTTGATCCCAGGAGTTCAAGACCAGCCTGGCAACAAAGCAAGATCCTATCTTAAAATATATAAATAAACAAAAACAGATAGGATAATCATGCAAGTATGAGGAAAAATATGGAAGGATATATATACGACATGGTTATCTTGGAGCAAAATGGGAAGGAGAGAGAACCAGGCAAGAAAGGAAGAAAGAAATTTGATTTTAGTTATATGAAAGGCAATATGTATGAACATATAGATTAATTTTTTTTTTTTTTGAGACAGAGTTTCACTCTTGTTGCCTAGGCTGGAGCATAATGGCGTGATCTTGGCTCACTGCAACCTCCGCCTCCTGGGTTCAAGCAATTCTCCTGCCTCAGTCTCCTGAGTAGCTGAGATTACAGGTGCCCACCACCACGCCCAACTAGTTTTTGTATTTTAGTAGAGACGGGGTTTCACCATGTTGGTCAGGCTGGTCTCGAACTCCTGACCTCAGGTGATCCACCCACCTCAGCCTCCCAAAGTGTTGGGATTACAGGCGTGAGCCACCGCGCCTGGCTTACATTTCATTTAAAATATTTTTTAAACGAAAATAGTATGAGCCAGGCACAATGGCTCACAACTGTAATCCCAACACTTTCAGAGGCCCAGGTGGGAGGATCACTTGAGATCAGGAGTTAGAGACCAGCTTAGGCAACGTAGTAGGACTCCATCTCTATAAAAAAGTTTTTAAATTAGCCAGGTGTGGGGCAGGCGCCGTGGCTCACGCCTGTAATCCCAGCACTGTGGGAGGCCAAGGCAGGCGGATCACGAAGTCAGGATATTGCAACCATCCTGGATAACACAGTGAAACCCCATTTCTACTAAAAAAGACAAAAAATTAGCCGGGCGTGGTGGCGGGCGCCCGTAGTCCCAGCTACTCGGGAGGCTAAGGCAGGAGAATGGCGTGAACCCGGGAGGCGGAGCTTGCAGTGAGCCAAGATCGCACCACTGCACTCCACCCTGGGCGACAGAGTGAAACTCCGTCTCAAAAGAAAAAAAAAATTAGCCAGATGTGGTGGTGTGTGTATGTAGACCCAGCTACTTGGAGAGGCCGAGGTGGGAGGATTCCCTGCACCCAGGAAGTCAAGGCTCAGGAGAGTAAGCCATGCTCACACCACTGCACTATAGCCTGGATGACCACATGAGACCTTGTTTCAAAAAAATAAAAAAGTGAACACAGTATGAAAGTTATTAAAAACCAGCTAATCCAACCATCCAGATGCCCCAAAGATTCACTTATTCAACACTAAGTGCTTATTTTGTGCAATGAACTGGGAAAAAGGTTGGCATCTCCTTTCCAATAAAAAAATCTAGTACAAATAATCCATCTATTCCAAAGGATTTGCATTCCATTTTGAAGCTGATCTAATGAGAGAAAATTATTCCATATGCTGAGCTGTAATTTGCTTCTCCATAAAGAAAAAGAATGAATCTAATCTAACCTTCATCCACATAGTTGTCTTCAAATATGTTCAAGACTAGTACTGTGTTTACTTGGCAACATTTACAGGTAGTTCCCTACTTTCATATGTAACACAGCCCTTTAAATGTGCCTAAGAGTTGAATGTCCAGATTCAGACTTAAGGGACTTAAAATGTTAAAAAGTGACAAACTTGGGGGTGGGGGGTAGAAATGCAGCTAAAATTACAAAGGATTAGTTTCCCTAATATACAAAGAACTCCCACAAATTACAAAGAAAAAACCAACATCTCTACAAGAGTTAAGGAACATGAGTTTTAGTTCACAGCAAAGGGAAAGACAGTACTTTTAAAAGATGCTCAATTTCACTTATACAAGAAAAATATATTAAAGCTTCATTGAGATACCACTTTTTCACCAGTCAGAAAGTTTAGTACCACATTGTGTTGGCAAAGATGTAAGCAGATAGTAATTCTAATACATTCTACTTTAAGGAATACATTCTATAAACTCATACACAAGCAATGATGAATGCACAAGGTTATTCACCATAGCAATGCAAATAACTGTGAAAGACTGGAAACAACATACATGTGTAACAGGGAATTGATTTTTTAAAAGTATACTATATCTTCTATATTAAAGAATCATAAGCTATTTCTTAACATTCTTGATGAGCAAATCTAGAGACAAAAGGATGGGCTTTCCAGTGACCTTAGAAGAATCTGACAGTTTGTGTTAAAAGTTCTCGAAGATACCATCTGAAACAGATGAACTTCTAAGGATGTTCTGAATAACATTATTACAATTTGTGGCTGTTACCTGTGAGTGCAGAAGAACACGGTCAGGGAGGTAACCTAATCTATTTGCAGAGCAACAAACTACAAAAATCATCAGGTGAAAATGAGGAAAGAATGTTTACCTTTAAAATTCTCAAATGTGCTAGCAAAAATAAAATATATTTTGAAAAGCATGTTGCAAGAACAAATTACTGATAGAGCCACTCTGGAATATTATGCTGCCATTAAATATGTATGACAAGTTTGTTAAATATTTTGTATAATGCTGAGCAAAAAAAGCAAAATATAGTTACATGGGTTTTTTTCTTCCTTGAGTCATCTTCAATGGTAAGTTATATGGTTTTATGTTGTATATAAAGATGACTTATTCTTTTATCAAAGCAAGATGAATTCCATTAAAAAATGTCTAGAAGGAAATACATAAAAATGTTAACAATAGTTGTCTCTGAGTAGCACTTCTTTCTTCCATTTTTCTGTACATCTCAATTTTCTATGACAAAATATTTAGTACTTTTAAAATAGAAATTTTTAAAAAATGAATGATTCTGAGTATGTTAGAAAAAATAAGAATCATAGCATCATATATATGAACAGAAAACTAAGTTTATTAATTTAATCTCTGTTCTGACAAATTTGGTAATTTTTAAAAACTCAACTGCAAAAAAAAGACTAAACATTTTCTTTTTTTTAAGATGGAATCTCACTCTGTCAACCAGGCTGGAGTACACTGGCCCAATCTTGGCTCACTGCAAACTCCGCCTCCCAGGTTCACACCATTCTCCTGCCTCAGCCTCCCGAGTTGCTGGGACTACAGGCGCCCGCCACCACAACCGGCTAATCTTTTGTATCTTTAGTTGAGACAGGGTTTCACCATGTTAGCCAGGATGGTCTTGATCAATCCTGACCTCGTGATCTGCCTGCCTCGGCCTCCCAAAGTGCTGGGATTACAGGCGTGAGCCACCGCGCCTGGCCAAAAATAAACATTTTCTAAACATAACAGTAACAGAACAAAGGAAATTAAGCTTTGATAAGAAAAAGAGACTTTTTCTCCCATGTTCAATAGTCTTGAGAAAAGAAATAATGCAAATTTTAGTTAAAATGTCACCCAAGAAAGTAACAAAAGGTCTCATAAAAAAAAGAAACAGACTTTGTCTC